AGCCCAGAGCCCATAATAGAATAGTGAGAATTACGTCATCCTCCCTTCTCATTGGAATATTGGGACTCACCTATGTGAGTCAGTTTCCCTCTCTGGGTCTCAGTTTTCTCCCTCTAAAATGGACAGGGAGGTGTGGAACCAGACAAGTTCTAGTCACTTCTAAGGCCAAGGATCCACGACTCTGATTTTGATCTGAACCCAAAAAAGAAGTGTGGCCAAGTATATAATTACTGACTCTCTTGTTTTTTTCCTGTAGGCAATTGGTTTAGTAACACTCTAACCATGTGATCTTCTCCCAAGAGATCTTTCCCCCAAAGATCCATGAGTGTGTTGGGAATCTAGATTGGAAAGTTCTTTGTGACTCAATTCTTTCCTTCCACTTCCACCCTCACCCCCATTCACTATGCCCCATCTCAACCCTCACCTGAGCCCCTCTCGAGGCTGGGATGCTGGCAGGCCTGGGCTGAGCATCTCAGGCATTTGAACTTTTTTTTTTTTTTTTTTTTTTTTGAGAAAGATCAGCCCTGAGCTAACATCCATGCTAATCCTCCTCTTTTTGCTGAGGAAGACCGGCTCTGAGCTAACATCTATTCAGGCACTTGAATTTAATGTTTACTGTGTTGAGTCCTGCCCCATCCACTCTCGGGCACCAGGACATTGTGACTCACCATGTACACTTCCCATTCATTTGTTGAACGTTTCTCCTGAGTCTCAGACTCCACCCTGGGGAGTGGAGAAGAGTCTGGGCTACCGAGAAGAATTACGCGGCCCAGTGCTCGGGAAATCTAGTCATAAGTTAGAGAGAAGCCATATCAGTCCTGAGAGAGAACACCAAGGGAGGGCCTGCTCGGGTGAAATCTTGAAGGGTGCTATAGCAGATGCTGTCAGTGCCCACCACATCCCCGTAGCCCTCCCTGGAGTTGCTCAACCTGTGCTCAGGGCAAGCGAGATACGCGAGAGAGTTCAAGCCACAGGAAAACTCTTGAGCCAACAAGCAGCAGAACCTGGTGGGTAAATAACCCCACTTCCTCGCCACTTGATGAAACAATCCTGCAGCGTGCTCTACACAGTCTCTCAGAGGGTCTCAGCAGGACTGAGTGACCTGCTCGTTAACGTCCCTGCAGTGCCTTCCCTTTCCCGTCTGACTTCTTTACTCCCTCTCCACGCTTCTTGAGATCACCTCCCAAATAAACTACCTGCATCCAAGTCCTTCTTATCTCAGGGTCAATTTTTGAGGGAATCCGCAGTAGGTATGGAAGGAAGAGTGAGCTGAAATGGAGAGTAAGGTGTTCAAGGCAGAGAGCACCCCGGCAGAGGGAGTAGCCTGGTAAAGTGACAGAGGGCAGGACGTGGCGTGGCATTTGGCGTGCTGTGGCATTCGGAGGACACATACATGGTGGATCAAGGACTTTGCTGCGGGATCTTAGCATCCTTGTCTGGAGAGGACAAACACTTCAGTCATCTTTTCTTGATCTCCCAGAGGTGCTGGAAGAGAAGGGGCTGGAGAAGACGGCCAGGGCCTTCCTGAGAGGTATCCAGTGGCCTTGCCCAGACATCTGCCTCCATCCTGGGCCCACAGGAGCCTAAGAGGTCGGCTCCGTTTCTTTGGAGAATGAGCTGCTCAACTATGAAAGGAAATTTCCCAACTGTCCTGGCTTTTCACATGATTTGGGTCCATGGAAATATTTAGAAACGGTTCTCTTGGCATACAAGAAATAATACAGTGTCAAATGCTGAGGCCCATGGAAGGCAATTTGATGCAGTGGTTAAGCCAGACAGACTAACTAGCTGTGTGCTCCAGAGCCTAGTCAGCCTCTATGGGCCTCAGTTTCCTTATCTGTAGCATGGGAATAATATTACCCAGGGAGGATTCAATGTGATAATGCATATGGCAACGGGCTCTGATTATACTAAGTGCTGAATTTAAAAAAGGGGGTGGTGACAAGCAGAGTGCGTCCACTGGGGCAAAGCCAACTTGCCACCTGGGGGAGATCGGTAAGCGAACTCCGCTGTATGGGGTCTGCCACCAGACTCCCCAGCTCAAAAGCCCAACTGGGCAGCTTGGGTTGGGTATGACCAGAGCAAGAGAGCAGAGGGCCGAGCTCAGACATCGGGTCAGCCTGTCGAGGCCAGGCCCTTGCCTCTGTTGGTGAGCTGGCAGCAAGCAGTGGGGACAAGAAGTTGGCTCAGAGGGCCTGGGGCTCTGGGCAAGTGCAGAGTGATGGCCTCAGGAGGGCTCCTCAGCCAGAACCTTTCCAGACCTCTTGGCCCACTGGTGTACAGATGAGCACCCCAATATAGCTCCCTGGGGTCCTCTTTTATAGACTTCCATGGGGGAGCCAACTTCCTTCCTCCCCAGGATCTCTGTTCAAAGAGTGTGCTTCAGTGGATTCGGCGCCCTATCATCTGGGCAGCCCTGCCTGAACTCCCCAAAAACCCTTGCTGGTCAACAGCTTCTAGGGTGAACCCGCCTGGTTTAACTCAGAGAGAAGCTGATGTGCGATCAGTGCTCGGTGAACCAAGCAAAGGCAGAGGTAGGGGCCTCACCTGAGGCTACCCATTGGCTCTCATGCTGGTCCTCTCACCTTCCCACCTTTCCCTTGACTTCTCCCTCCCACTTGACCTCCTGGGTCATCCACCGCACAGTGTTTCTACCTCTGGGGCCTGGACCTTGGGCTCCCTGGATAGTGACTGCACTGCCCACTGACAGGGCTGCACAGAACAGGCCTCTCCCCCACCCCCACCTGGGGCTAATGAAGGAAGGCTTCTGAGCAGCAAGGCCCTGGGCTGGCACTGAGGCTGGAAAGATATTTTTGAGGCTTTGGGTGGAGAAGGCCTCAAAGGAGATCCCCAGGGACTTGCAATCATCCAATTAACCCAATATGTTAGTTCTGAGGAGTCCTGGAGTTCCTCAGGCAGCTCAGATAAGGACTGACAGGAGGAAAGATCCGGGAAGTTCTGGTCTCAGGGTCTATGCACACAACATGAGGAATGATTAACCCCGGCCTGGGTGGAGTGGAGGGTGGGTGTGTGTAGATCACAGGCCCTCAGATGAAATGACCAGTAGTGGAACTCTGGGGGAGAAAGGCACTGTCTGCTCTAAACAAAGCACATTTAGCATCACTACATTTCAGGGGCTCTTGGCAACCTGGATCAATCACCCCAGCCATGGGGTGGGAATGTTCTTTCTGTATTTCTGCCTTCTTCATTTATTCCCACCCCTTGTGAGAGACAAACATCCACGCTGTCACCAAACTGGGTCCCAGAGAAACCAAACCAACCCTTCTTGGGGACTCCTGGATCTGGTTTGAGCCTGCCCCTGCTCCCAGACTCCTCTGAGGACCCTCTCTCCTGCCACTTTTTCATCTAAGCTTTCCTATGGACTGGGGCACCTTCCTCCTCATGCTAGCTCACCATTCAGCCTCCAACCATCCCAGGACATGGGAACCACCTGGCAGGAGGATCAGATTCCTGGGAATCTGCCTCACTGCACCCCTTAGCCCTCGGCGCTCGCTTTGGCTGACTCCCTCTGTTTCTCAGGCCTGGAAAGGTGGTGTGAGGCAAGTAAAGATGGGGGAGGGCTGGGAGGAGGTGCCAGGCCTGGAAAGGGGCAGGCACAGGCCCAGAGAGGGAGGAGGAGACAGGCAGTGAGAGTGTTAGCAGAAGAGCACACTGTCTCAGTGGGGAAGGAGGAGCTGCAGAGGCTGGGGTATCTCTGACCCTCTCAGTGGGTGGGGCCAGGGGCAGGGGCACCTGGGAAACAGACTTGCCTCTGGAATTCAGAGTTGAGCTGCTAAGTCACTGGCTCCTGGAATCTAAACGACAGGACTGAAGACTACAAAGGAGCATCCAGGGGTGCCACACTCCAAAAGGACAGCTTCCCGGTGAGTACGACATACTGCTGGACACATGGGAGTCCTGGCCTCAGTTTCCAGACTCTTTCTCACTGCCTTGACCCCCAACTAGCAAAAGGGAGGCCCTTCCCAGGGAACTTGGGTGGTTGTTCAGAGACCTAGTGGTCAGCAGAGACAGCCAGGGCAGGAATACTCATCTGCAGAAATGGAGGGATGTCAAGCAGTGACCTCAAGGCCAGACCTGGTTGGAAATAGTTTTGCCACTCCCACACCAGCCCCAGCTGTCTGATCTACCCCTGCCTGATCTGCCAGCTTCCCTGTGCAATCCTGGGTTCTCCAGAAACGCCACACCTAGAAGCCTTCAGCCATCCCCCTGGGCAGGGCTGACCTCAGAAGCCCTAGCTTTTGTTAGGACCAACGTGGGACCAGGAAATGCTTGACACAGGTTCCCAAGCCTCACAGGACTCCTTTCTTCCCTGAAGGCAACCCTGAGTGCCCTCCCAAGAAAGAGACCCCAGAACTTATTTTTAAATGTGCAAACTGGACTCATCTGTGGCTGCGCAGTTCTAAGGAGAAAAATTAGGGCCACTGAGTTTCACTGGAACTGATAAAACACTTCCTAAAGTCCCATGTTTATATCCCAGCAGAGCTTCTCCTCCCGACTGAGGTCGTTAACTGGCTCGTTATTAATAGACTTGATGCAGCAGCGTCTGGGGACCTGGGGAGTTTACAGGGATAAAGGGTACATTTCCTTCCCTCCGGAAGCTCATGGATGGGGACAAGTAAATAGAGAGAGTTACTGGGAGGTTCAGGTCCAAACCGGACAGATGAGGGAGGTCTTCCGCAAGAGGTCACCTGTGGATTAGCATCCAGAGAATTAGGGGGAATTGGAAGGAAGGGCATCGCTGGAAGAAGGAAGGGCAAGAGGCGCCACGGTGTACGTGGGGCAGATGACGGAGGAAAGCAGACAGGGCAAAGTCACTGCACACCCAGTGACGCTGGGGAACGTCCCCCACCCTTCAGGGAACATCCAGGGCCTGTTCTCCTCCGCGGAGCCCGGAAGTAGGGGGGCCTATTCGCTCCTTCGTTCGGGGTTTCCGCTGGATTTAATGACCTGTCCGGCTTTTGTCTCCCCAGCCACGCGCCATGTGGGCCTTGTTGCTGCTGCTGCTGCTGCTGCTACCGCCGCCCACGGCGCTGCGCCTGAGCCGACCAGGGCCTCCACAGGAGAGGGCCCCTCTTTTCCGGCTCACTCAGCAGGGCCCCTGGGGGAGCGGGGCCAGCAAGGCCACGGTCTCGCCCTGCGAGGGGCTCCCCGCTGCGGGGGCCACGACCTTGACCCTCGTGAACCGCAGCCTGGAGCGCCTCCCCGGCTGCCTGCCGCCCGCGCTGCGCAGCCTCGACGGCAGCCACAACCTGCTGCGCGCCCTGAGCGCACCGGAGCTGGGCCACCTGCCGCACCTGGAGGTGCTGACGCTGCGCCACAACCGCATCGCCGTGCTGCGCTGGGGCCCCGGCGGGCCTGCGGGGCTGCACACCCTGGACCTCAGCTACAACCGGCTGGCCGCCCTGCCGCCGTGCGCCGGGCCCGCGCTGCGCAGCCTCCGCGCGCTGGAGCTCGCCGGGAACCCCCTGCAGGCGCTGCAGCCCGGGGCCTTCTCCTGCTTCCCCGCGCTGCGCCTCCTCAACCTCTCCTGCACCGCGCTGGGCCGCGGCGCCCAGGGGGGCATCGCCGACGGGGCCTTCGCTGGAGCGGGCCGCGCACCCCTGGCCACGCTCGAGGTCCTGGACCTCAGCGGCACGTTCCTCACGCGGGGTGAGTCGGGGGGCGCCCCGGGATTTCAGAGCCGGGCTGCGCATGCGCTCCTGCGGCAGGGCCTTGAACTTCCTCAAGGGGTGGTGACCCGGATGGCTAGCTCAGTGTACCGCTCAAAAATAACCCCACCTGGATTTCCTGAGCCAAGCCAACCCTGTTCGAAGCGCCACACAGGGGTTAACTCCTTGAGTCCTAAGGGGTGGGAATGATAATCTCAGTTTCGCATATGAGGGAACCAGGGCACAGAAAGGTGAATGACTGGCCGCGGTCTCACAGCTCATTACGTGGTGTCTCCAAACCCAAACCCAAGAATTCTGGGTCCAGAACCCAAACGCTTAGCCACTCTATTCTACAGCTACCCAGCGGAGCTGGTAAAGGCTTGTAGAATTGAGACGTGGACGCATCGCTCCAGGGCTGGTTAGCATCAAACATGCAGTTAACGTGAAGCAACTGATGCGAGGAGCTCATCTCAGGAGGAATTCAGTGATTTTTCTACTCAGTTGGCTAAAATTGTGTCTGTGACTGTTGAATCATTCAAACAAGACACAGGAGGGAGGTGAGAATACTGGTCCTCCTTTACTTGGCGTGTTTACACTTCGGTTCACAAGGTTGGTTTTATTATTTTTTTACAAACCCTTCGTGTGTCTATAATCACCTCTTCTACCACACAGAGGATGAGCCAGAACGGGAAACAGAGAGGAAGGGGCATGTTCTCCATTTATTAGCAGAGCCATAAAATTATGTTTCTGGGCCTCCTCCAGCCTTGCTCCTTCTCTTCTCCTTACTGACCTTTCTCAGAAATTTCCCCACTCCTGGAAGTCCTGTGAGTTGAGTCTGGGTCTTTCTGTGTGAAGCTGAACAAAAGGGTGGGGCAGCAGGAGAGTTGGAGACAGTCCTGGGTTCAAGTCCTGCTCTGTCCTTTCCCAGCTGTGTGGCCTTGGGCCAATCATTCTCCTCTCTGGCCTCAGCCGCCTCAGGCTGGAAGGAAGGACTGGTCATCTCTGAGGGCTCTTCCGGCTGAAATGTCCCACACATCTGAGATTCCCAAAGCTGCCAACTGTGCCCTTGCTCAGCAATGACCTTCATGATTCATCTTGTCACTCTCGTTGTTTCCTCAATGCCGTGCCAGCCTCCTGGGTTTGTGCCTTCCTGGGTAGTGGGCAGTTTTCCCTCTGTGTTTCAGTTCAGTCAGGGTGGATCAGAGACCTGCCAAAGCTCACGTCTCTTTACCTGAGGAAGATGCCCCAGCTGACGAGCCTGGAAGGAGACATTTTCAAGATGACCCCTGACCTGCAGCAGCTGGATTGTCAAGATTCCCCAGCACTTACCTCTGTCCATACACACATCTTTCAAGACACTCCTCGCCTACAGGTCCTTCTTTTCCAGAAGTAAGTGTTTCTGAATCACATGACCAATTTTTGCCCATTACACTATGTTGAATGGGTATAACTATTTTATAGAACAAACCAGATCTTAATTCTCCTCCCACTGCTCCTTCAGATCCTCTCTGGGGTTTTATTTTTCTTCATCCTTTGGGTGATATCTTGGGCGGGTCCCAGATAGTCCATCCAGCCTAAAACCATGCAGTTCAGTCCTGTCCAGAGTAATATTAAAACCTCAAACTCTCATGCATGTGAAGTTTCCTTTAAGCCCAGGCTGAGAAACTTACAGTGGGAAGAGGGGATGAGGCATCAGGTTCTTCTCTATTTCTAGATCCCTTTGCTTCCCCAGATGCTTATGTAAGTCAGCCCCTTGCAGGGTTTGAGTCGGTCTAGGGAGGAAATGTAAGTGGGTAGAAGAGTCCTCTTGTAGCTGGATCCTGGGGTTGGTGCCCTCTCGCCCAGTGGATGTCCAAAGTGTTACTACGCCCACCCTCCTTCCCAAGAGCAACTACTGTCCTGACTTCAACAGGAAGGGCAGCGTCCCTTTGAAGATGATCCCTGGCCACCTCCTTTCTTGTGGGCCGTCATCTGGGCCCTGGGAAGCAGGCACCTTTGCCCCAACATCACTGTCAATGTAGCCACCTCTCTCTTTTGTCTGCTAGCCCCAGTCACAACCAGAGCTTCACTTTGGGACTTGTCATGAAGGAAAAGGAGGTAGAACATGCAGAGCAGTTAGCTCAGTGCCTGGCAGGTGGTGTGTGTTCTATAACATTAGTGAAGATGATGGTGGTTGTGATGAAGGTGATGGTGATGATGACGGAGATGGTGGGAATGGTGATGGTGATGATGACGGACATGGTGGGAATGGTGATGGTGATGATGTTGGTAATGCTGGTGAATTGGTGATAGTGATGGTAACGGTAATGATGATGGTGGTGGTGATGATATTGATGAGACTGATATCATCTCTGGCTCAGACTCCTCCTTGGAGCTTCAGACTGATGCGGCGTTGTGTGTAAGGAATGCGATGTGGAGCCAAACTGCCTGGGCTCAAGTTCTGACTCCACCACTTACTAGGTGTGTGAGTTGAGGCAAGTTACTTAACACATCTGTGACTCATTTTCCTCATCTGTGAAATGGGAATAATGACCAAATCCTCCCCCACTGGATTGTTGTGAGAGGAAATGCTTGGATATGTGCCTAGAACAATGGCTGGCAAAGAACAAGAGGTTCATATTATTATTATTACCAGGCATTTGCACTGGATGTCTCATAGGTCTCTCAGCATCAAGCAGACAGTTAGATGCCTGAGCCTGGATCTCATCAGAAGGCCTGGGCTGGAGATACCTAACTGAGCATCTTCAGCACAGAGATGGCGGAGGAAGCATCAGGTGATGACGGTGATGATGCTGATGGAGATAGTGGTGGAGATACTAGTAACAATGATGATGTTGATGGTGCTGATGGTGGTGGTGGTGGTGATGGTGGTGGTGATGATGACAGCAGAGCCCTTGCTTTCAGGGAGCTCACAATTCAGTGTAGGCAGCAGACATCTGCCAATCGTCACAGTACATTGTGATCAGTAACAGAGGCACACACCACGTACTGTGTTATAAGACACATGGGGTTAATGATCAGACTGGAAGAAGAATATAATTGATCCATACCTTCAAACTCACCAGGTGAATGCCAGCAGAGAAAGGCAACCCAGACTCGAGAGAAGCAGGCATCCCTGGTTCAGAGTGGTGACTGCTTCCTCTCATCCCTGCACTTCTCAGTTCACTGCAATCTGACCACCCACTTCAGCTGCATGATTGAGTGGAACCAGTGGCATTTCAGCTGCTAAGTCCAGTGGACGCTTCTCTGTCCATTGAGCCCCTTGTTGATTCTTTCCTCCCTATTCATCCTCTCTTCCCGTTGGTCTCAAGATGCTGTCCTGGTGCTTCTCCAGCCCTCCTGAATAGGCCTTCTTAAGGTCCTTGGCTATTTCCACTTCTTCTAACGTTTTTGCATGTCATTTCTCACTCTACGTGCTTACTCCAGCACTGTCTCCACAGCCGTGTCTGATGCTTCTTCCACCATCTCTGTGCTGAGGATGCTCAGTTAGGTATCTCCAACCCAGGCCTTCTGATGAGCTCCAGGTTCATGTATCTAATTGTCTGCTGGATGCTGAAACACCTATGAGACATCTAGTGGAAATGTCTAGTAATAGTAATAATATGAACCTCTTGTTCTGTGCTAGGCATTGTTCTAGGCACATAGCAAAGCATTTCCTCTCACAACAATCCAGTGGGGGAGGATTTGGTCATTTCCCCCTTTTCACAGATGAAGAAACTGAGTCACAGAGTCATTAAGTAACTTTCCCCAATTCACACAGCTAGTAAGTGGTGGAGTCAGGGCTTGAGCCAGGCAGTTGGTTCCACATCTGATAACCTTAAACAATGCTGCATCAGTCTGAAGCTCTAATGAAGAGTCTGAGCCAGAGATATAAATTTGGGAGTAGAAAGATGAAATTTGAAGCCATAGAAGTTAATGAGATCACCAGGGAAGGATTTAGAGAAAAGAGGGCCCAGGGTTGGGCCTTAAAGAACCCCAACTTTTAAAATCAGGAAGAGGAAGAACCAGGAAAAGAGAGCAAGAAGATATGACCAGTGAGACAGGAGAAAACCCAGGAGGGTGTGATGCCCTGGAGGCCAAGAGAAGAAAGTGTTTCAGGAAAGAGAGAGTGGTTGGAAGAACTGAATGCCATTGGGAGGCCTAGTCAGCTGAGGACAGAGGACTAACCATAGGATCTGGCAAAATGTGGAGTGTGGTGACATTCATTCTCAATGGAGTCAGATGGGAGTGGATTGAAGAGTCAGTGTAGGTGTAGACGACTCTTAAATTTGGCTCCCCAGTCTCCAGGTCCTTTCTGGTTTCCATTCTCAACAGCTCCCATGCCAGCCCCTTCCCATCCACCCTTAAGGGAAGCTGTAGGTCAAGTTCTCATCATTTCCTACCCCTCTTACCAAGGGCCTTCTAGTCAGTGACTCTGCCTTCAGGGGCCCACCCTTTAGTGCGGGGGTCTTAAACTCTTCTGTGCTGTGGACTTCTTTGGAAGTCTGGTGAAGCCTATAGCCCTTTCTCAGAAGAATATTCTTATATGCATAAAATAAAGTATATACGATTACAAAGAATCCAATTATAGTTATCAACATATTTTTAAATATGTGTTTTAGGAATGTATGTGTGTGTAGTGTGCTCCTTTATTTAACACTTCAAATAACAAAACTCAGCAGCAGGACCAATAACTTCCATAATTTTAATGATTATAAATGACAGGAAACTACTGAAAAGTGATATGGAAATATCTGTGATTTCTATTGGTGATTCACCTGTGGTTTGTTGCCTTCATTCATCATTGAAGCGAATGGTAAATTTCAGTTAGAGGTTTGTGAAAGTAAAGAAGTAATATCCTCCATCCAAGTTCACAGATCTTGTCTTCATGGACCCCACGTTAAAAACTTTTGTAATCCAGTCACTACATTCAGCTAACAGTTCTGTCTAAATTATAATCTGATTGAGTCTCCTGCCAAATGAAAACCTTTCAGTGCTTTCCATGGCCTGAAGGAGAAGGTTTAGCTCCTTGGCTGCCTCATCCTAGCCCCCTTGCCGCACCACCCGTGCTCCAGCTGCAGAGAAGGAGCCACTTCCTTTCTGGGTGCTCTCAAGCCTCCGAAGCTCATTAAATGCCACCTCTCCTGCTGGACCCTCGCTCCCCCTCCTCAGCCTAGCCTGCTCCTGGCTCTCCTTAGCTCCCCCACAACCTCCCTGTTTATCACAGGCTATCTGTGATAAACACTGGGTGACGTTTGGGTGCCCTGGCATAGCCAGCACCCACTGGAGAAGGGCTGGGAGCCTTCCTGACTGCTCTGCCAACCCAGCGTGCCCAAAGCCCTCCACAGCCCCCTCCGACAACGCTATATGCAGGAGGGCGAGGCCCTTGGCAATATTTCAGCAAAGGAGAGAAAAGAGCTTATTGAGGAGAGCAAATGGAAACTTCTTCCACACTAGGGCTCTGTCACTTCAGAAGCAGGAACACCCAAATGTGGACCCGCATCAGGACGTGAGCTGGGCTCTCGGCTCCTCAGCGTGTGGATGGTAATGCAGCTTGTCTTTACCACCTGAAGGTTGCATTGGTGGTAGAAGGGGTAGCCAGATAAGGAGAGGACTCGTTTTCCTTATCTGTAAAATATTATCTACCTCAAAATATTATGTGAATTGTCATAATGATATCAATGAGATAATATATGTAAAGCACTCAGCAAGGTTACCTGCTCGAAAATATGGTAATCCTTTTCCTCTCCCGCTTCAGGCAGTAAGAAAAATATTTCCTTTGCACAATGAAGTGCTAAGTCAACTCCCATTCTAAGAGTTCCACTCTAGCTCTGTGAAATCTGCTAAAAACAAGCATGCACACATATATATTCATATATGTGGGTGTGGCTTAAGTTTCAATATAAACGGCACACACATATATGTGGTGTTCCAGAGGGGACAACTGTCAGGTCCCCAGCTGCCAGGAGGGTTAGAGCAGATCTGGGTGGTGGGTCCTTCCTCACCCAGCACGTCAGCATCTCCCCCAGAGCAGTAGGAGAAGGCAGATGGTTCCCAGGCAGATGGAGGAAAGCCAGCCTTTGGAGGGCAGAGACCTGAAGGTGAAGTGCAGCTCCCATTGTTCATGAAGAACTATAACTGAGTATGTGTACAAGAGGCCAGGAGACTCGGGGAGTTGAGAGAGTTAAAGCCAAACGCTCTGTGAGACTCTAGGGAAGAAAGCTCAGAGAGTTGGGAGGGGACCTCCCATTGTTAGGTGTAAAAAAATGGCCCCATCCTCCCATCCCTGTAGACACACCCCTTTGCAATGTGACTTTGCAGCTCCTCCCATCAAGAGGTGGAGTCTATTCTCTACTCCTTGAAGCTGGGTTTGGCCATGTAACTTGTTTAAGCCGGTAGGATGTTAGCAAATGTGATGTAAGCAGAGACTTGAAAGCAGTTGAGGATTGGAGCTTTCTCTCCTTTGCTCCACTGTGTGCACAAGCCTGGGGTAGCCTCCTGGGTGATCAGAGACATGTGGAGAGAGGCCCAAGCAAACACAGTTGAGCCTCCATATATGTGAGGCCATCCTAGATCTTCTGGCCCCAGCTGAGCTAGCCCACAAGAACCACTGAGCCAACCCACAGGATCATGAGAAAGAATATTTACTATTTTAAGCTACTAGGTTTTAGGGAAACTCAGCAAGAGCTACCTGATACACTTCAGTAAGGCATCTTCCGAAGGACTGGTGTTCAGTGCCATCAGCTGCAGTTCAACTGCAATAGTATACGTTGAAGAGTGTTCTCATTAATTAAGAATCTCTGCCATTTCTTGTGACTGGCATGTAATAATATCTTACTTTTGTGTAGAGATTTACATTTATAAACACTCTCATCATCACAGATTCTTTCTGATATAACCAGCAGGCAGGAGAGTAGTGTCCCCATTTGATATGGGGGACGATATTGACTGGGTTGGGTTGGTATCTCCACTTTACAGATGAAAAAAAATGAAGTCCAAGGTCATTAAGGGTTTGCCCAAAGTGATATCATCAAACCCCCTACAGCATAATTTTCCCATGACACCACCATGACTCTGGGAAGAGTTTTGACCTGATTGTAAAAGCCTGACTTGATTGATTTTTGTGTATTTCAGCTGCAACTTGAGTTCCTTCCCTCCTTGGAACCTGCATTCTTCCCAGGTCCTATCCATCAACCTCTTTGGCAACCCCCTCACTTGCAGCTGTGAGTTGTCCTGGTTCCTCAAGGATGCAGAGAGGATTGTCTTAACCAGGTAACACATTCACAAAGCAGATGACTGAGGTGTGCGCTGAAGTTCTTGCAGCTTATATCTTGCTCATGTAACCGTGCTGGGCAGGTTGGCAGTGTTGGGTGGGGCGGCCCTTCTCCTTGTAGTCACACTCAGGGACCCTGATGAAGGAGGCCCTGCCTCCATTACAGCCAGCCAGAGGGGCAGAGAGCATGGAGGAGCAGACGTGGGAGGTTTTAATGGGCCAGGCCAGGAGGAGATGCTCATCACTTCCACTCATATCCCATTGGCCAGAGGGCAGTTAGCTACACCTAACTGCAATGAAGGCTGGGAAATATAGTCTAGCTGTGTGCCCAGTAGGAAAAGGAAATGGTTTAAGTGAACAGCTAGCTTGTCACTGCCAAAGCGATGTTATCATTGCCCTGTTATACAGATGAGCAGATTGGGGCCCAAAGAGGGGAGGTACTTGCTTAGATTCATGCAGCCTCTGGATGGAGAAGGCAGGATCTACCTTCCTCTAAAACTGCGCTCTTAATTTACCACTGGGCCCCAGTGAGTCCCCACGACAGAGCCTGGCCTCCTGGGTCATTCAGTCCAAGACAGTGGGCTTGCAGAGCTCTTGTGGGGCAGAGGAAGTCCTATGAAGACTTCCCATTGACCGCTGGCTGGAAGAGCTGTTTTTGCAGTGGGAAGCCACGTCCAGCTGGCCATCAGGAGAGGATGAGGGCTCAGGACACCTTTGGTCTCGAACACCCTCAAACCAGCTCCACCAGCTAACCTGTCCTCCTTGCAGCTCACTTTGGGAGATCCCCCCCCCAACCTGTGGGGGTTCTTTCTCACCTCCCACTCAAGCCTGGCTGTGAAGTGGGGCTGTCTGCCCCCTTCTCCCTTCATGATGCCTCCAAAGACAAGCACCCAGACCCTTTGCAGTGAAGGGTCTCACTGTGGTATTAATGAAGAGGATTAGAGTGCAGGCTCTTCACACCACTTACTACTGTTGATTTTGGCAGTGTTATTTAACCTCTCTGTGCCTCTACCTCCTCATCTGTAAAATGGGGATACTAGTGCCTGCCTCATAAGGTAGTGCAGATTAAATTAGTTGATACAGTAAAATGCTAACAACAGTCCCTAGCATGTGGCAAGCACTAGGTAAATGTTAGCTAGTATGAGTATTGTCACTAGTACTCACGGCAGGAAGCAGACAGGAGAGAATAGAACGGCAGACTACACTGAGAGAATCTGGACTGCCCTTCACAGCGCTGGCCCCGGGTGTAGCCTCGGGCACTTGCTAGCTATGGTGTCTTGGGTGGTTAGTTCTTCTTTCTGAGCTTCCAGTTCCTTCTCTGCCCAGTGGGAGTGATGAGGGGAGCCTCCTCCACAGGTTGCCCTGAGGGTTAGTGGGGTGAAGCATGTAGGGTGTGTACCATGTGAACCTAACAGACGTGGTGGCAAGTCTTGGTGAGAGGCATTGCCCGCACTGAGGACTCAAAGACCAGCACAGGAGCAGCCCTGATGCCAAATGCCTTCTAACCGGTTGGCCTCCCCTCCAGGGCAGCAGACACAGTGTGCACACCAGCTGCAGGATCCAGCGGCACCTTCTCAGCCCCTCTTTTGCTCTCTCAGCTGCCAGGCGTGTGCCATTCAGACCAAAGCACCACCCTCCTTGATTCCAACCCACCCTCCCCTGTCCTCTCCACCCTGGCACCATCTACGCAGGGTCCCTCCACCCTGAAGGGCACAGCCCCGCCCACTAAACCTGCGGGAGGCCACCAAAGTGTCACCAAGGCCCCCTCCCTGCCTGTGGATTCCCCCACTGGAGCTGCATGGCAGTACAGCAGTGTCAGGGAGGGGACTACCCCCTCCACCTCCACAGTAGGTTCCAGCAACTCCAGAGATCCCCCCCGGGCTGCAAGCACAGCTGGGACAAAGCACCAAGAAGAACATGCTGCCTGGCTTGCCCTTGAGCCCAATATCTCAGCTGCCTCCACCGCCTCAGCCAGCAAGCTTGGTCTCTTCCCCACCTCCGGGAACTCAGTGAGCACACCCCAGGCCGACGGGAGGACGCAGGCCGCCCTGCAGGCTCCCCACCCGAGTCCTTCTGAGGGCAGCGTTCCCATCTTGCTGTTGGACGACGCCGGTGAGGAGGAGGAGGAGAGGGAGAAGGAGGAGGTTAGAGCGCCTCCCCAGGATGTCCCCTGTGATTACCACCCTTGTAAGCACCTCCAGACCCCGTGCGCAGAGCTGCAGAGGCGCTCGCGGTGCCGGTGCCCTGGCCTCAGCGGGGAAGACACCGTCCCAGACCCTCCCAAGCTGCAAGGGGTGTCAGAGACCACCGACACGTCCGCGCTCGTCCGCTGGTGTGCCCCCAACTCGGTGGTGCACGGGTACCAGATCCGCTACTCCCCGGAGGGCTGGCCGGGGAACCAGTCGGTGGTGGGGGACATCTATGCCACCGCCCGGCAGCACCCTCTGTACGGGCTCTCGCCGGGCACCACGTACCGCGTGTGCGTCCTGGCGGCCAACAGGGCGGGCTTGAGCCCGCCGCGGACCTCGGGCTGGAGGGGGCCGTGCGCCGCCTTCACCACCAAGCCCAGCTTCGTGCTCATCTTCGCGGGGCTGTGCGCCGCCAGTGGCCTACTGCTCGTCAGCACCCTGCTTTTGGCCGCGTGTCTCTGCAGGCGGGGCCGGACGCCACGCCGGCAGCGCTACGACACGCACGTGGTGGCCTACAAAAACCCAGCCTTTGACTACCCGCTTAAGCTCCAGACCTGCAATTAGCCCAGCTTCCCCTCCTCCAGTCGCACTCGAGCTGAGAACTGGCTGCCACCGCGCAGAGAGGAAGATACAGAGGGTCAAAATGGCCCAGTCAGCTCTGAAAGTCTCTAGTTCCTGTGAAGCCAGCACTGCTTGGGCACACGCGGAACTCGGAACTTGCCGCGCAGAGTTTCTCAGTCCAAGGAACAACTGCCTTCCCTTCCTTCTACTTCAATCTATTTCCAGAAACGTGATGGTTGGTCCACATCAGACCACTGCCACTGGACATTTGTGTGTTGTTTTATTTGGGTTTTTCGGCAATCAGTGCCCCTCAGGGTCCAGCAGAATAGAATTGTGTGTGGAAGTAGGAAGGGATAAAACAAATCTTTTGCCCTATTGGAAGTTACATCCTCAAGTCATTTCAGGGATATTCCTCATGGTCAAGCTCTAGCCAAGGGACATGTTACTCAAGGAATCAACTCCAGTGGATTCTTAATCTGAGAACTGGGGGTGAGGGAGAACTGCTGCTTATATTGCCTGAGGCCTTTCGGGTTTATTAGTTGCATTTCAGGATATGGCAAAAAATGTGCTTCTAGCTTTATCCTTAAAACCAGTCTTTCAACATTTGTGAAACACAGGCAAAAGCTGTCCTGATTAGTCAGTGTTTACTGCATTTCACCCAAGACTAAGTGGACAAAGGAACTGTGAACTTCAGGAACTTTTTTTTAGAGAGAAAAAAGGAGCAAAAGAGAACCCCAAGGCTCTAGCTAGAGGCCAAAGCATCTCTCCGCTTGCAGTTGCATCAGACAATGCCTTTCTGATTTGTATCTCTGTGGGACATGTCTTACTACATCCTGTTTCACGTTAATACAAACTTAGGGGGGAAAGTGACTTTATGAAATTATAATAGTTTTGCACATTAGCATTTATGTTTCCTGTGGCTACCATTAACAAATTACCACAGACTGGATGGCTTAAAACAGAAATTTATTCTCTTCCAGTTCAGGCCAGAAACCCACAATCAAGGTATCAGCAGGGTTGGTTCCTTCTAGAGACTGAGGGAGAATTGTCCCAGGCCCCTCTCCCAGCTTCTGGTGGAGGCCAGCAATCCTTGGTGTTCCTTGGCTTGCAGATACATCCCTCCAATCTATGTGTCCATTGTCTCATGGCATTTTCTGTGTGTGTCTCTGTGCCCAAATTTCCTTTTAAAAAATTGTTTTTGCCTCCTAGCTTTATTGAGATATAATTGACATGTAACATTGCATTAGTTTAAGGTGTACGTGATTTGATATATGTATATATTACAAAATGATTACAATAAGGTTAGTGAACACATCCATCACCTCACATGGTTACCTTTTTTTGTGTGATGAAAACTTTAAGATCTACTCTCTTAGGAATTTTCAAGTATACTATACAGTATTGTTAACTATAGTCATCATGCTGGCTTCTGGGGATCATTAGAACTGGAAGTTTGTACCCTTTGACCACCTTCACCCATTCCCCCCGACCCCCAAACCCTGGGAATCAATCTACTCTGTTTCTATGAGTTGTTTTTTTAGATTCCATATAAGTGAGATCATACAGAATTTGTCTTTCTGTGACTTATTTCAGTTAGTGTACTGCCCTCAAGGTCCATCCATGTTGTCACAAATAGCAGGATTTTCTTTTTTATGGCTGAATAATATTCCATTATTTATATAAAATCTCACATTTTGTTTGTCCATTCATCCATTGACAGACACTTAGGTTGTTTCCGTATCTTGGCTATTGGGAATAATGCTGCAATGAACATGGGGGTGCAGACATTTCTTCGAGATAGTGATTTCATTTCCTTTGGATATATATCCAGAAGTCAAATTTGCCTCTTCTTATAAGGACACTAGGCATTGGATTGAGGCCCATCAAATCCAGTATGACCTCATCCTAACTTGATTACATCTGCAAAGACCTTATTTCCAAATAAGGTCACATTCACAGGCACTGGGAGTTAGAACTTGAACCTATTTTTTTGAGACACAATTCAACCCAGAACAGCATTTATTTCTACTGTAAGAAAAAAATAAAGTTTGATTCCCATGTATCTTTGTTTCCAAAATGTGCTGCAGCACGAAAACTTTACTGCAGAAACCGAGCATATATCCAAGTTTGACCTGAACAACTGAACTGTACTGTATGTCTCTAGGTGTTTGAACTTTTGAAAAAGCTTTCCAATATTCTAAGGTAGATCCTAGTTTCATCACATATGTAACCAAGAGAACTGGATTAAGTGATTTAAAGGATATCTACCAGCTCCTGATTAAAAATTGCCAAGCAAATGCCAAAAATGTAACTAATTAGCATGAAGTCCTCAGACAAGTAATTAAATTACCCCAACGCTTCTTTTAGCTTACTGTCAAGATTGAGTCTGTTATGTGGAGGCAGCAAAATGAATTTGTCATTCTTTGAGTCTGTATCCATGAATACACACTCAAACATTCTTAATACAATTCCAATGTTTTGCAAACTAGCAGAGTTTACATGTTTTACAACAGTTCAGTATCCAAAATCCTGAGACTTGGATGACTTTTATAAGAGTTGAGGTGGAAAAAATATGTTAACCAGAGCCAGATTAAGACCTTAATACTAAAGAGACGATGGATCCAACCCATGTCACTCCATACAGCGTCAACACTAAACCACAAATAAGCACAACGAAGCACAGAATTCTAATTTTTCCCGTAACTACTTTATTATTTCACGCTCTCCCTTTTTTAAACATAATTTTTGTGTGCTCACACTGTGCTAGTGCTGAGACATTTCGACATGCCTTTTGAGTGGTCTAGCAGTGGGACTTCCACCTCCAGCCTCACCTCCTCCCAGGCTGAGACTGTACAGGAGGTTCCAGAGGGGAGAACTGCCACCGCATGCCACTCTCCTCCTCCCTCACACCACCCTCCATCCAATTCAGCGGCAGTGTCCCTGGCTGCAGGCTTCAGTATGTTCCAAGCCAAGAGTGGCTCAGCAGCTAGTCCGGGAACAAGAAAGCCAGGACCAGCAAGCAACGAAGGGGCACACTGAGCCAAGGATGCCACTGCCAAGAGGCATGGATTGTGCTGATAACTTCCTACTTTTATTTAACACAGCTCAACAGGCTGTGTTTGGATCATCTCACTGCATGATTCCATATTACACTTGGGATAAAACCTGGGACAGTGGGCAGCAATAGGCCTCCACTGTTAAGAGGAAGCAACAAACACAGGCCCTTGTTTTCCTCTTCCCTCTCCCTGCATCCTCCACTCTCCTAAACATGATGGTTTAGCGAGAATAAGGGCTTTTAAGGTGAGATGGTCCCAAACCAATTATTTTTACAATGTAAGTGCAAATGATGTATCTGAATGGACTTTATGAATCAGAAAACTTACACAACAGCAGAGGGCCATAGTACGCTATACAGACAACCCAAGTTGAAGGTATATATATGTTTTCCAGCTCTTTTATTCCTTTAACATCTTAACAAAAGATTTTCTGAAGTTTAAAAAAACCTTTGAAAAATATACAGTTCCGTGTTATTTACATAACATCCAATATCATACAAACATTGCTATGTTAGAAATACAGTGGGAAGGCATGATGTAACTCACTGCCTCTTGGATGGCGTAGGCTAACGGACATGTTTTCATGTCCCAACTACCATTGTTACTTGTTATCCTGATACGTAAACAATTAGGCACCTGAGAGGTTGGAAGACTCCTGAACACGAACTTCAGTACCTTCTATTTTGATCTTATTTATTATTTTCAAAACTTACTGTATTTTAAATCTCTTGACAAGTTTTTACTTCATCCACAACTAAGCTATCTTTATTGTCATTATCCTAAATGATCAAGTATTAACCACATGAACTGTTAATGTGTACACAGATCTAAAAATCAAACATAAAATTGTGTAGCCAAGTTGTGTAGGATAAATATTTAAACTCAAGAAATTCCCTAGTGCTTTGTGAGCAATCTAAATTCTATTAAAGAGAAGTGACAATTCTTCAGTTTCCATGTGCTGGACTATTTTCTTAAAAAACATTAAAAAATGACAGACAATAATTGGAATAATTAGTACCTTATAAATTAATTAAGAAACCTAAGATAAAAAATTCTAAATTATACTTTTATTTATATTTAAAAATACACTGGAAATTCTGCATATGCCATGATCAAGCTTATTTTCAATGCACATTACTTCAATTTTTGACGACATGGTTTGTTCTGACAAGTCCTTTGTCAAGTTGAACACCAAAACAGGGAAACTCCTGTCCATTTCCACTGGCCTGCCGCCATGATGGATACTGCTTCCTTGCTAACAATGATGGATGGCTTTCATTTGCCTTTTATCACCTGAACAGTTTTCCGACCATAATGATAATAACTGTAAGCTGATGCAGCTGTGGTAAAAGCTGTAAAACACCTTTTATGGAAGGAAAGAAAGAAAATTTAGTCTGAAAAAGAGTAACTGTGAGAATCATAAATAATATATTGAAAAGAGTTATTTAAAAAGTAAAAAAGGCAGTGAGGTGTAAATTTTTTTAACCAAAAGGAACTAAATACACTGCTTTTCTTTAAGACTCTATTTGAATTAGTAATGTCAAACAGAATTAATCTGGTTAATGAGCCCCAAAGAATAACACTACTAGCAATTGTCATTTTCACCCAGATATTGCACTAGGTGTCTAATGTTCTCACTTCATTTTCACAACAGCCTACTCTTGGCCATTCCTCACGGCCACAGAACCATGTTGAAGCCCGGCGTGGTGTGCACTCTAGAGCACGTGCTCTCTCTGCTGCTCCATGCTGCTCAGAGTGTCAGACTATTTCCTACAGATTTTGAGAATTCTAATATCTGAGTCATTTTAAATAAATTTCAGCTTTCTTTACTGATTTTTCCTTAAGTGAATTACCAGATTAACCAGACTCTCTTTGAAATTACACAAGTGATGCTCATGGCTTGCTGAATGCTTGCAGCTAACAGCTTACTTTTTAGGCACCCATACACGGCTCCTTCACCAGGTGAGGTGTAGGATCATCAAGACTCTACTTTTGTTTGATCCCAAACCTGTGTATGCCAGTTTCATATTCTAAATTCATACATAAACCAATGAAATATACATGTAGGAAGAGCTGCTATTTCTTTTTTTCTTTTTTGGTGAGGAAGATCAGCCCTGAGCTAACATCCATGCTAATCCTCCTCTTTTTGCTGAGGAAGACTGGCCCTGAGCTAACATCT